GACCACAGAAAAATAAGGAAGGGGAGACTTCAGAGAGACTATTTTTCATTCCCCAATTATTCCACTGGGACCAGGCTCTTAATTTTTGGCAGCCAGGGGAGTTATGGATGTAGGAGAAACATCCACTCATAGGGAGATAAGTAGTTTAGTCCTTTAATGATCATCTGTGCATGAGCATTATGGAACCCTGGTTCTGGAACTTGACCTATATAATTATTGTGAGGGCACTTTAGGTACTTTTCTGAAAATACATTTGTAGGAGTCAAAGATGCTGGTGATCTTTTGTGCAGGGTACTTACCTAACTAAACTCTGAGGAATAATTTGCAATTTGTTTTCTTATGATTAGAATTGCATGAGGCAGAAGGTTGACACTGTTTAAATTCAGGATACAACTTATTTACCAAAAGATAGAAATTACTCAGATTATTTAAGATCATTTAAATATTTTTCCTTCACAGGAATGAAAACGTTTTCGACCACCTGTCCCCAACTGAGGAACTTTCTGCTCCACTTAATACATGCTTCCCTCTGTCTCCTTGCAGAAAAATAATGGCTATTAGGTGACAGGTCTAACAGAAAAACACCACCCAGACACATGAAACCAGGTACATTTAAAACTTCTGTTACTCTTATTTTACCATCACCTGCACTAGCTTCTATATGAAAGTCCCAAGTCTTAATTTACACAGGCACGTGATGTTTGTGTTTCTGTCCCACATCCGATGGAGGTGATGCATTCCAAAAACTGAGAATTAACTTGAATGACTGAACATCACAGACATTTGATAACCTGATATTAAGTAGGATTTCCCCAAAATACCATTTAAGTACTTAAAAACCTCTGACTTTAAAATATGATGTAGATTATCAGTGCTGACAGCAAAATATGGAGTCAAATTATTATAGCTGTACAAGAGAAATAGTGAGGGACTTAAAGGAGCAGGTGATAAGCTATATACTCTGTTAAAGAGTAAAATGTCTGTAGCCTCCAGGGACATAAGCCATCAGACAGCTGTGGAACAGTATGCAGAAAACAGCCAAAGATATATAGCTTGTACTGAACAGAGGTGCTGATGACTGAAGTTTAGGTATTCAACATATAAAGCAATTCAAAAGTGCAGACTAAATGATAGCTAGAAGAACACATACAGTGTAATAAGTTACTAGTTAAAGAGATAAAAGGAGCCAAAGTTCACAGTCTCTGAATTCAAGAGATTGGAGAACTGGATCTGGGTTTATGGGGCTTGGTCACAAACCCAAAGTACACTGTATTGCCCTGGATGAATCAGGAGAAATCCAGCACCACATTATCCCATGCAGCTGGGAACTACAGAGCCTCTGGAACCTGGGAATGGTGGGATTAGGAGCTGCTTCAATGAGTGAAGAGCCTGCACAGTGCCAACAGCAGCCCTGATCCCTGGGGAGCAGAGCAGCCATGGGCAGAGTCAGGCTCTGGAAGGAGCAGCACAAATGAAACCTCACCCTGTTAGCTTTGAAAAAAACATTGCTGCACATACATGAGTTTCTCATTTCCATACTATGTACTTTCCAAAGCTGAGTGCAAATTTCTCTTAGAAGGTAGATGGAAAGCACCTAACATTTAAGTAAGTAATAGGAAAAAAATAAGAAATGGGACAGACAAGAGCAGAGGAAGGAAAGGAGTCGGCACAGAACTGACCAAAGCAAGAACTAAGGTAACATTCATCAACAGAGGTGCCAATCCTTTACTTTCTAGGAACAGAAATAAATCTACTTACAGCACTAATCAATAATGCATAGCAGACTAATGGAACTGAAAAGTCATTAGTGGTGTGGGAGGCTTACTTACTAAAAGCAACCTGCATGAACACTGACATTAGTCCTAGTCAGAGGATGGATCTTGCCTGTGCAAAACCCAATATTACATCTTCAAGTGATATGAAAAGCAGATTCTGTTTTATTTTTTCCAAGAAAAGAACTGTCAAAATAAGGCTCTTGATAGGCCCCGTTCAATATTTTTTGCCTGGAGCTTTTAAACTAAAAATATCTTTGTTTCAGAAAGGTTACGAGAGGATATTCGGGTTTTTTCAGGATACATCAATAAAAAAGTAACTAGTTGAACTATCTTTTGCTAAAGGACAACAATTAAGAAACTTTTTAGTAAAGCACCAACCAGCACCAGATGTTAATATGGGAAGTAAGGAAACAAGGCTGCTATAAGTCTAATAAGTCAAATCAAATGTATCTTGCATAAGGAATACTTATTGACATGAAATACTTTGATCTTACTAATGATTCTGACATTTATGTGAGAGGATTACAAATTTGTACAGCAAATGTGTCACAGGAATCATGTTTTCAAAAAAGGGACTCCACTGAAGAGCCAATGTACTCAGCAATGGCCATTGAATGTCCAAAGCAGCTGGAAAAGGCCTCTGCTCACCAAAAGATTGATATTCCTAATAATGAATACGAATAGCACACAAAGAGAAAAGGTATCTTTCTCATTGCCACCACCCACAAAGAAAGAAAACCAAAGCTAGTTTTACAGAGAAAATGAATTCTGAAATTCTGTATCAAATATTCTTTTAAAGTAACCAGCAGACCTTTGAGACTTCCAAAATTTAAAGCAAATCCTGATCATGTTACTTCCCTCCTCATTCTAAAGATTTTTAGTAACTTCAGACCCCACTACTAGTTTTCTTCCCTTTATCTCATGCTTCTGGTCCTTTCTTTTCATGCCTAGAAGTTGTCACTTCCTTGAAAAGCAAGTTAAAAATGAAACTATCTGGAAATAGCATTAAATTAAATCACAGCTAATGCAAATTCTATTAATAAAACTATTTTCAAAAACTGAGCAAGTTTCCAGATATAGATGAAAAGCTATAAAATAAGATTTCAGAAGGTTTGTATCACACTGTATCACCAGTGTGATAACATAACTGGGATCCCTTAACCTCTATCAAACCTCATAATGCTAAAAAGTTTATGGTAACAAACTAAAGCATATACCAAGTCATGTTGATTTTCATATTGTTTATGCATGTGGTAGATTAAGGCATAACTAGTTTTAACAGCCCTTTTGTTGGCCAGGAAAGTGAATATTAATATGTTCATTTCACTAATGAACACATAACCTTGCTAAACAAGTAAAAAATCAAGAGCATTCCATCACTGCAGGTCTGACCAGAGCCCACTGTGTTAGACTAAGGGACGCTCTGGTAAAAGCAAAACTCTGAGGTGAGTTCTCAGTCACGCCTGACCATGGTAAATCCCATAATGGCAGGCATTGGAGGAGTTGGGTTCTTTCAGGAGTTTGTACAGGAAGAAAAGAATAACTTTATATCATATTGTACACGCTGATCTACCAGTGCAGAAGATGTCATCCTAGGGATTGGAGTCCTGCTGGAAATTGAGTGTAACTGGAAAAAATTAACAGTAAGATGGCCTCCTCATTACACTCATTACTATTTAAATGGTGTTCTGTGAAAGTCTGATAGTTCAAGCAAGAGCTCATTTACCCAGCTTATACTGTTCTTCTTCCACTATAAATATTGCCTTAGTGATGAACTATTTCTTTTGTCACCTTTTTCACCTTACTCTGTTCTTCTCATCCCAATCTATTCTTTTTCCTCCCACCCTTCATTCCTTTCCATTTTCCCAAGCTGTATCTCTCATTCATTCCATTCTCTTACTTATCCTTTTTTCATTTCATCATCTTTCAGTCTTTGAGGAAGAACAGTTAGTTTTGTAGGAAAATGGAAAAGCACAAAAGTAAGCTATTTTTCTTAACAGTACCTAACAGTACAGTACATTACCTACAGTGAACTAATGTGGGATTGTTATTGCTTGGAACAACTCTGAGTTTTACATCAGCCAGTCTGACTCTAATTGTGTCAAAGAGCTCTCTGCACACCCAGCAGGCTAACAAATACACAGACTTTTTAACAGACCTTTAAAAAGCTTTCACTCAAATATTTGCAGACTTGAAGGCTTTTTTTTAGGTAATGAAGGAAGCCTCCTTTGAGGAGAATGACATTACTTCATGATAAGATGAAAACATGAAAATGTGCCTTCCCCCCCACCCAGAGAAAAGGCACAGTACTGCATGTTGCTGCATATAATTCACTAGTTGAATTAATATAATTTGGAAAAGCCTATGCTTATTCTAACAAATTATCAACAGTTTAAAAGAAGTCCATGACCCATACTATCAGAAATTTACTATATAGGAACTATTTCATAGATATAGTTGTTTTGTGAAATAGATGTTCACCTGGTTATGGGTAAATTAGTTCAAGAACAGCATAATTCTGGTTTTACAAGATAGCCAAGGAGGGTAGGAGTATTTTCTTTAAAACAATAGCATTAAGGTCAGCTTGCTGAACTACTTTAGAATCTGTTTTACAATCTAATTCGGTCTATTGAACAGTAAACAATGAAAGTAGGTTTTGTTCCTTCATTTGATTACATTGTTCCAGCAAATACAATCACAGAAAGATTAACTACCTTCTGAGATAAGACACAGGCCCCAGCCAGAGGCAGCTGTTAAAGTTTCCTATCTGCTTCACAAGCAATTAACTGTGTCTAAGTAAACAGTGTCTTATACAGAAGGGATGGACAATAGGTCACTCTGCATGAAGGAAGAGGGCTAACTTTGATTTCTCTGGGTACAGTTTCATTTGAATAGCTATTGATTTTTAATGTAAAAGCATTGACAAGGTACGATAGTTTTACTTACAAACTATTTTATCACATGACAAAACTACAGGGCCTTTTTTCCATCTCTTCTGCCGCAGGATACCCAGGGTGTATTTGTTACATTGTAAGAAATATCTTTTTTTTTGGTAATTGAAATGACAGCTCAAGAAAGCCTTTCTGATGTAATAGAGCAAAGTGTGTTTTAGCAAAGACCTCAAGTCTTTAGAAGCTCCTCTTTCTTGGTGATCAGTTGTGATGAAAGGCATAAAAGAGCCTTCTGTAAGTAAAGTAATCTTCTGTGGCTGAACTTGTCTTTTACCTTAACAGATCCTGTGGAGGTCCATGTTTCTCAATCTTCTCTCTTCTGTCCCTTGTTTCTGCATTGGTAGCAACATTTGATATAGTCTCAGTTGTCCACCACTTTATTCCCCTACTACTGCCTGGTCTAAGTAATTCTCAGCACTTGTAAAGCAAATTAAACTTTGACTTGTGTACTGTTCCTGAATATGATTAGTTTACATTATCTATCAGATTCTGATTAATTACTAAGTAGATCTCTAGTACCTTCAATTTTAAGAGAAGCACTCTTTCTCTTACTTCAAGCCATATGCTCTAGTGTGGCTGGAAATTGTTCAGGTATTATAAAAAATATCACATGACTTTTCTAGACAGCTTATCAATTTGATTATAGCAAGAGGGAAAAGCAGCACCAAAACAACTTAGTTACTGGAGAAAAGACTGAATATTCTGACAGTAATGATCAGGAGAGCTGGAACATAAAATATGTGAAACATGAATGACCCATAAGGAACTCACTTCGTAAGGAAGTTCCTCAGTTGAGAGCTATAGAAGTGAACAGTCTGGGACATCAGAGAAGGACTGAGGACCATTGCTATAACCCACATCACACATCAGACTTCTGCCCATAACATAATACAGTATTGTCCAATTTAATATGCAAATTTTAATTAGCAAAGACAGCAGCAGTTAGTCTGTAAAGGGTACTGGGGCGCTGTCACAAGACTGGAGCTATACAAGAGAGACCAATTAATGAAAAATTAAGTTTGAACATAAACAGCCTTTCCTAAACAGGGCTTTGTTGCAAGGGTGACTTTAGTCTAAACACTAGAAATAATTCTCAGTTGCATTTGCCAGAAGCAATTTTTACATGTAATAAACGTACACAAGGTAATATACATCAGTGGTTCCCACTTGCTATTTGTCACTTTGTATTATAAATTGAAAAGTCTTGTACATAATTCATGAACCCTGTTACCTTCATTGCAACCCTGAAGTTCAGAGTTGTTGACTCACTCAGTGAAAGCTTACTTCTCCCAGTCTTGGGAAGTTGAAGGATCACAGAAAATGCTGAGAACTTTGGTTTGGTGCATACCAGGAGGGATAAAATTGTTTATTTACTTATCACTTAATATCAAATACCTTTGCTCTAAACTATTACAGAATTAATATTTTATCTCTAGAAAAAGGATTAACACCAATTTGTGCTGCATATAACAATCACTGCAGTTTATACAACAGTAATTTCTAATGTGAATGAGAGCTTCACAGACACAAATAGAAGAATACTCTGCTAATACATTATTAAAGGAATTGAATATGAGGCTTTAAATGAAAATTGACTTAGTATGTGTAAAAAAAGCTGACTACAATAGCCTGGACTAGTTTTCAAAGTTCCCTAGGAAGAAGGATCACAGGATGAAGGTCTTTTCACATCAAATGTTTTCAGACAGGGATCACCAGGTGAAGTGTAATTGAATTAAGTCCATTCATAAAAGCCTTATTAAATTAGTATCACTCATTTACAAATGTAAAAAAAAAACCCAAAAAAACCCCAATAAACCAGAAGAAATACTCAAAGTGTGATTTTCAGTAAGTAAAACTTGTGTAAAAAGCTCTGTATCAGAAAATACTGAGGGCCAGCACTGGAAACCAGACACAGCAGCACCACCAGGAGAGCAGAGACCTCCACCAGCCAGGGTCCATTCCCACTTTACCTGAGAAGCTGCCAGGTCAGGAGAGAGCAGCTGGAAGTCTAAATCCTTAGGCACACTCCCAAGAACAATGTTGGGAAATTACTTTAGGATAAGACCTGCTGAGGATAATGAGGACAAGACATCTCGGGGAGCAGCTTCACAGCCAAGTCAAGAAGTCAGAGCCAAAGACCAAAGAGACCCAGACACAGCAGGGCTAGAGCTACAGCCCAGCAGCATTCCTGCAGAGGAAAAAAAAAAGTGTATCCAGGGCTGAGCTAAATAGAGCTCCTCATCAGGAGGGGTGGGTGGAGGCAACAGGTGAGGCTGCTCAGGGCATTTAGGGCCTATTAGTTCACACCAGGTTCTGAGAATTTGAAAACACTCTTGCTCCCCTTAAAGCAGCTGGTTTGCTGGCATTTATAGCTCTTCTTTTACCTTTTCTTGCCACACTTACCAAGGTAAAAAGTTAAAAAGAAAACATCTCTTTCAAGATTACAGTGTGATCACACAAGCTTAAATTACATCCCCAAGTAATTCTTGTGTTGCATTTAAATTCACTTATGGTTCCTCTTTAAGTTCCTGATGTGAATTATACTCAAGTGATTTGCAGCCTCTCTTTTGCTCTCTATAACTTTGGACTTTAACAAGCTGGCAGATCAGATAGACATGAGGCTGTTCATGCTTCCCCTTCATTTTAGCAACAGGGCAAATGAATGCTCTGAATCAAGGAGAAAACAGAGGACATGTCAACACCATACAACAAGCACCACGCAGAGGTGATAGCTTGGGTTGTGGAAGCAGAATGGAGATGTCACCACAACACTTCTTCCTGGCAAGTTACTGCTGTTGAGCAGTACTTTTCAGTAATGTTAACTGTCCTAGTTGTACTGCTGCACTTTCTTTCATGCTTTCTTTTAGCTCCTCTGCATGGCAAAATAGCATATGGTATAGGACACTAAAAATAATAATAACAAAGGAAAATATACAGGGATAATAGTCAAGAATGTGGACCACCTTGTACTCTGGGATGTCCTGGTGTTAGGTACACAAAGATCCCTGGTATTGGGAGGTACACATGGAGCGTGTTCTGCAAGACACTGTAGGACATTGCTTAAAATAGCAGTTGGAGGGAAGGAGAACTGGCCACATTGATTCAAAGCTGATAGTGTGGGGCTCCTACCATTTCCAGAACCATCAGAACCAAATTGAGCATAGGCAGAGAAAAATGTTTTGAGCTGTCACAAGGCTGTGAGGAATGTGATCACATGCTGTGTAGGCACAAGTCATGTGCAGAGCCAGCTGTGCCAATAATCACTTAAAAATTAAATTATAAGAGCAATGGAGCCTGTGATATCTGTTTGAGACAGTATAATTCCTCAAATATATCTTAGGTCTGTGCAAATACATTGTTTGCTTAGCTGCGAGTTCTCTGAAGAATTGTGTTGCATTTTATTTCCTGCTTACGATGGATGAAAATGTGTCAGTCCTGAGTGACAAGGCTTTAATGACTCTAATTGACCTCATCTTAGACTCCCACCCACACACTCTGCCTATTGGCCCAGGAGTGCTACTTAAACTCAGGTCTGAGCCTGTGTAGCTCTGGTGACTATATTTCTATGTGATATGGCCTTTTTTTTCTTAGTGCTGCTGCTAGTAATGCTTTACAGCTTACAGCACTCTCTCTGCTGCTATTTGGGCTCATCCTACAGGTTGTCATTTATATAATCTGATGTTGTATTGTATCTTAAAGGTATGCTTTTTTTTTTCTTCCTCTGCAATGAGCCTGGTCAGAGAATGGAAAATCAAGTGCAGCTAAAGTGAATACAGGGAGCTGATGGAGGCTGAGTATGAGTGATGATAATGCTCTATTTTGGCTTCTTTAGACATGTAGTTTTCTTCCTAGTTGTTCCAGTCAGAGAGTATGTGGCTGTTTTTACTGCTTCAGAAAGCAATTATAAGGCAATTGTTTTAGTGATGATTTCTACTTTATTTGGTGTTTGATGTAGCCCTTATTGTTGAATTCCAGGAGTATAATACTGGAAAGATAATCTGTGTGGCACAGGATTATTCTGTGAGCATTTTGACTTTGTCTTATCTCACAAGTGTGTGACAAGATATAAGTTTGTTATGGTGCACCATGGGCCAAACTGCAACTCAAATGTGACCACTGGTTGTATCAGTCAAGTCCTACTGTACTTTATGAGGAAGGCCTGCCATGCCAGATGCTCTTCTCATAAAGCAGGCTACTGAGGAAAGGGAAGCAATAACATTCCCTTTTCCCCAGTGCCACATTTCTCACCACAGAATGAGCTCTTTATAGTGGGAAGCTGTAAAACACTGCAAGGAGCAAGATGTTTCCATTCTAAGAGTGTCAAGAATGGGGGTTTTCTCCCCTCTAAAACCACACAGAAGAACGGGGGGGAAAAAAAAGACAGGAAGGAAGTAGTATCTCTTCCTTGTAGCTCAGAAATTGGACATGAATTAAGAGTCATGTAAAGCCATTCAGAAAGTCCCTACCAAAAAACAGAGGCTGCCTGAGTCCTAGCTTTGTCTAGACAGCCTGCCTCTCCTTGGTTGCACAAAAAGCTATGTTATTCTGGACAGAAAAAGGAAATTATTTCTGCCTTATGGCTACTACTAAAGAGGAAGTCCGTAGTTAATTGTGTGTTTGTGGGTGTGAATTTGCTGAGGGATGATCAAGCTGGAGGTAGAACTACGTCTCTTGGTCATAGCTGCCTGGAGGGCTCTGATGCTGCAGCAGGTATAGCCTGGTCAGGTGGGAACTATGGCAGCAGAAGCTGCCTCAGCAGCATGATTGTGCAAAACAGACCAGATGTTTATGGCATGGGGAACCTATTTTTTAACAATCAGAGATTCTAATGATGATCATCATAGGTGTTGTTATAGAGAATATTTAAAGTGATTTGGTCAGCCCTGTCTGATTACCAGATACTCTAGAAAAGGCAAGGAAGGAAAAATATATCCTCTTAATGATACGTAAGAATCTGTTTTCAGTGTAGGACTAAGGTATCAATTATGCTTCTTTTCCATCAGTGTAGAGGAGGACCCTGCCATTAGGCAGGAAAATGACTTTCCTTTTTCCCCCCTTACTGATGCAGTTTTCACAGCTGCCTTCTTACAAGTTGTCTGCAGTTTGTTGTTAAATCAGTTTTGCCCAGAAGACACTAATTTTTTAAAACCATGTTCTGTATGCTTTTTATATGATGTGTAATCTATCATGGAGCCATGGACATAGAAATTAATGTTCAACCTAAATCACCATTTTTTCCAGTATGTCTAGTGTAGTAGACATATACTAGCCTAGTGTATCTCAAAGGATAGTGCTTTGCACTCAGCCTTCATGCTGTTCCCTACCTTCCTTAGAGCCTTTCTTCAACCCTTTAAAAGTCTTGGCATTTCCCTTGGGCCACAATCTGTGAATGATCTCTTCACCTGCTCTAAGAAAGCTTTAAATTTTGCTTCTGTGGTCCCTGGTGCAATACCAACAGCCCTTGGCAGAGCAGGACCTGGCTTCTCTTCTCATGCTTTCAGTCCCCAATGCTGTGTGTGAATTAAAGTGTCATACTCTGTCATGACTGTATCAGAAGGAACAGCCCTGCTCTCACAGAGAAAAAGATCATATGCAGGAAAGGTGCAGCTTCTTTCTCTGGTAGAACATTAGGTTGCCATGTTGAAGTTTTTTCCCAAGGAATATAAAAGATAATAAAATACATGTGAAGGAATGATAAGTTAGCTATTAACTTTGGCTAGGAGCTTTTTTAAGTGTTTAGGGCAACTGAAGCTAAAAGCAAGTCCCTTGTTTTAACAGGTATTTTAATCTGAATGAAGAAGCCTTTTTGTGTGTAGAAAAACTTTAGTTTCATGTCTATCTGAAATGCTCCCTAATTACTAATTACTGAGGCATTGTAAGCTATCAAGTAAATATTAAATATACATAGCTTTTTATATGAGGACAGACACTTGCAAACAGTGGAAGGGGTAATACTCTGGCACATCAAGACCTGTTTACAGAATAGCTCTTAGGTACACTTGTACAACAAGCAAAGCCATTCAAACCTACTTAATAGAAATAATTCTCACTGATATTTGGAGCTGTTATGGGTTTATGACAGGACCTACATGGACATTTTCCAAGCCACAAATTATATAACAGAAGAGGTTGGGAGCAAGCAGTGGATTTAGATATTCAAAGTCAGTATGACACAATACGCTGTTAATAAGTAATTGACTGTAAATGCAGTTCTCTACAAGAAGATTAACTGTGCTCCCTTTTGGAACATAAGTACTTGAGTGAACTCCTCTCCTGAAAGAGAAATCAAATATTTGTGGGTGTCTTCTGGAGGTGAAAAAAACCCTTTTTTGGATTAACATAGGAGTGTATTGTTATAAAAGGTATATATTTTTGTTAAGTATAAAGTGATGATTGAGTAAGTTGCAGTATCTGGTGATGAATACCTGAGGATTGTTGGCTGTTGAGACAGTGTAAGCTTGACTTGAATTACTGGCTTGTATGAAGCAAAGAAATCTGATGGTGTGTGGTGCTGTGCATTGGGCCAGTCTTTTGCTGCTAGGGATTTGCCTCTGAGAACTAACAAAGCCTTTAGTCTAGTTTATTTATTCATTCACACTTGTGCTTGCTTCCTTTTAAAGCTACTGAACCCCAGTGCCTTAGAAAAACATAAACTTTCTGCTGATTTAGCCCAAAAGCACGGTTGTATCTAGCTGGATGACAGCTAAGGACAGTGATGGAGACACAGCATGAGTGCCTTTGTGTACCATCCTTTCTCCTCTCAAACATGTCAGAGAAGCCAAGGGGGGAAATGTAGAATTAGGAAAGGAAGAGAATGAATGTGGTAAAGAGAGATGGATGTGGAATGCCAGAGGCACAGTGAGCAGATGAAGCAGACTGAATGAAGAATGGTGATGGGAAAGACTGCATGCTTTCTTTTTATGTAAGACTAATGGAGAAGTGTGTGGTTTATCAGTTTTCACTCCCTGTCTCCATGATGGCTGCAGCTATGATTGTGCAGGACTGACACTGGGTAAGGTGCTCTCTGTCCTGTCTTCTATAGCTGCTACCTGGAGAAGACAAATATGCTTGGCTGACCTGAAGTCTGCAGACCATGTCTGTAGTTGCTGTATTTGATAACTGGGGCTCTTGAACCTGTGCAACTGCAGATGGACTTTGTCATGCAATCTGAGCAGTGTCT